AGAGAGAGAGAGAGAGAGAGAGAGAGAGAGAGAGAGAGAGAGAGAGAGAGTTTCACAGCAATGGTCTACCCATACACATCCCTGCCCGGCTAACTTCAGTCACGTAAGAAGTCCACATGAGTTAGGCGCTCAAAGAGCATCCTGTTAGTCACAGTATGCTGACAGCTACAAAGAATGAAGGATAAATCGTGAACGCTTCAATATGGCCAGTTTGTGTGACAGATTGTGGGTTTACTTGTGTGTGCGTGTGTGAGCGCGCCTGTGTGTTGCCTGCTTTGTTCTGCCTGCTTATTTTCCTGGGCCGACCAGGTTTTATCTACAGGAAGTTCGGGCCGACTGGCTCTCATGTGAGCCGTGCTTCCCATGACCGCCTGCCGTGGCCGTGCTGATATAAGCTGCAGGAAAAAAAAAGCTCAAGGAATCGTTCTCAATACACTTGCATTGCAGTGAGACAAACAAACACAACCATGCAAATGAACTGTGTTAAGGAAAGTGATCACGATGACGTGACCACAATTAGATCCTGTGTTGGATAAAGGTGCTTTAAGTCCTTTAACTGATGTGGTTTTGCTTCTGTTGCAGCTGAAAGCTCAAAATCCCTCATGGCAGCTCTTTTTTTAGCTTTTGTGGTTTTCTACATCAAGGGTTCAAAACATATAGCTCCCAAACCACAATTCACACAGTTTAAACACACATATTGTTGCTGGAAAGAGCAGAAGGTGTTCCCATGCCCTCCTGAGTGATTACAGATCCTCTCAGCTGTGTCCCATGAGCGCTGTGTCTAAGTGAGGGTTAGCATTATTACTGAATGGACCTTTTTAACACCAGTCTCATCAGCAGCTGACACTAGACAGGCAGGGTATTGGGGTACCACTGCATGTGAGTGAGCTCATGATTCACCGACTGAAACTCGAGCTTGGAGGCCGCAGAACGAAGGTGTGTGTGTGTGTGTGGGGGGGGGGGGTAGGAGGACGAGTACAAGCTCCTGTAGTAAACAGTCCTCTTACCTTGTAGATCTCAGGAGCAGGACACTGGTCCCTGACTGGCTGACAGTCATCCCTCAGCCTGCAGCTGTTTTCACACCAGCCACAGAGGTGTCCCTGATCCTCGCGGCCCCAACACTGGGAGCAGTCTGAGCTGCCCACTCCACAGTTATACACCTCCACTAGAGGGAGAAGAGCGACAGGGGAAAAAAAGCACAAAGCGGATTGTTACAAACAGCCAGAGGTGAACAGTAACTTAATACGTTTGGGGAAGAATTGTGCAATTTTGATCAAGTATTTCTCAGTATCTGGCCAAACAACGACAACATAGTGGTTTTGCAAGCTTTTAACAGCATTTTAGAATTTTCCCAGAAACAATGTGCAATTAGTTTTGAACTTTTTTTGTGCTTCCTCCGTAACTTTTACATCTGTGGATGCAAACAACACTGGCTGCCATTTTTGTGCCCTTCACCACGATTCTTGAAAGTTGATATGGACTATTTGTGCTGATGTGTTTGTTTTTAGACAAACGTAACAATTTGGGCAGCACAACGGCTTACTTACCTGTAGAGTTTATGATAAAGCTCGGGTTTATCTACCATTTCTCTGAGCACTGCATAATTTAACCTTGGGGTGACTTTGGGACATCAACTCCAGGGAAGATTGGCAGCAGTCCTAAATATGTTCCCCTTGTGAATAATCCTTCTCACTGTAGAATAATGAACTCCAAAATGTTTGGAAATGACCTTTAACCCTTCCCTGACAGATGGACAGTTGCTTCTCTAAGGTCATTAATGATGTTTTTCCTCTGTGGCATTGTGATAAACACTGGTCCACTCTAAACCAGCTTTTATAGAGGCAGTCTCCATGATGATCGGTTGCACCCAGCTGCTATTTTTCCTCCTAAACCCTATGGAGGCACAAAGAGTTTTTTTTTCCATTATGGCTTTGATCTTTTTTGACAAATAATAAGCACTTTTAGAACCCAAAAAAGACCATATCATTTTAAATATGTCTCGATACATAAAACCCTCATACTGAAAAAGGGAGAACTTCTTTTTCCTCTGACTGTACTGGAATATTATTTCCACTGATAAAACGTTTCCAAATCACATCTGAAGGTGCATTCTTGGATTTTCTTTTCCTTTTCCATTGCTTACTTGAACCATATGGCCTGCATGCTCTAAATAAACAGAATACGCATTTGGAGGATGATATATGCATGGTTATAAAAATAAACCAGGAAAATAAAGAGTTGGCAAAGTGGCTGAGAACAAAGCCAGAGAAAACAGATGATTATGTTCGTGTTCCAAAAAGCCTCCCAGTGAGACGTCCCATTTGTATTACTCCGTGCACATCTGTGCAAGCGATTGTGCGCATATTAGGGAGCGTGCCTCTGCATGCATGTGATAAAGTGCGTGTCACTTTAAAATTTGATGACTGCGCGTGCTGCGAGGCCACCGTCCCTGTCTGTCGAGCAGAATGTCGAAGCGGCGGCACGGGCTTGTTGCAGACACGTGGGCTGCAAACGGCACATCGGGGACAGGCCGCGACTTCGCTTGTTGCCGCTGCCCCATGAGTTCAACAGCACACGCCTTTTTTTTCCTCATCGTCTCACTGTTGTCATGGAGCTCAAATTACATTTGAAACAATAGCGTTGGAGATCGCTCATAAGAGGCAGTGATAACACCTCAAATTGCAGCTCCTCGTGTTCTGTAATTATTATGTGTAATTAGGCGTTAGCAGAATATAACATTATGTTAAATTATTGGTTGTTGGCAAATTATGTGTTGTAATGCCCAAACTGCTAGCATTACAAGTGAAAAACAGTCTAAAACTGTCTATATGTGTAAGCGCTTACAGGTTCAATCAATTCCACCCGTCTCATTTGAAAACATCTGCGGACCGGCGAGGTGGATTCTCATACGTTAGAGATTTTTCTGAACCATGGCCTTAAAATATAGCAGAAATAAGATCTGTGTATCTAAATCTTTTTATGTCTATTTAATCATGGGTTTTACATCTTACCTTTCATGGGCTGAGGGCTGTCAAGAAATATATCCTTCCTCTGACTGCTAAAGTACACTCTCCTCCTGAGGTTGAGGTGGTAAACCTGACTCCTCTGGCTAGTGGACAGCTAAACGAACAGAAAGTTCAGTTAGTATCAGTGTCGAGCATCTCTGCCTCCACTTCCAGTCATGCAACATAATGATGGGTTCTTAGTCAACTCAACAACAGGGGTTTATAATAATTACACAAGGTTTGAGCATAATAATACTGAGCACAGTGAGGCTATAAACGCACAAATTGCCTCACCGGTTTTTTCTCTGTACTTACCGTCACCCCAGTGCACTTGACAGTTGAGTTGTCCAGCCATATGGCCTCGTACTGCTGCTCGGTTCCAAAGTCACAGTCCAGCTTCACCCTCTGTTGTGCAAAACACTCGTTTCAAAACAATATGAAGCATCTACACAGCAACAGCCAACACAGAAAGTGATACTACGCTGTTCCCGGAACGTTAATTCTGTGTTGCTGCTCGAAACTTGGAAAAAGAAAAAAGAAAAAATAGTATACAAATGCCTCATGCCTGGCAACAATTGTCATCTCAGACCTGCGATAATTGTGCCTGCCAGAAAAGACGTTCAGATTTCATATTCATAAACATCTGGACTCCCACACCTCTGCAACTCATCTGGGAGCCGGAATAATGAGTGTGAATTTATTCTTCACAAAATAAGTGCCCTGAGTGTTTCTGAGCCAGGATATGTGATGCCGCTGATAGAGAAGCAGAGAGAGGTGGGAGAGGTGGAGGATAAGTGCTTCAAGTGGAAGAAGTCATTTGTCTGTAAATCCGGCCAGCTTAAAACGCTCCACTTTGATCGGCCTCTTCATGACGCCGCTATTTCCCCGTGCTTTCTGACACCAGAGACAGACGGTATTTCGGGCTTTTGGCGAGTTGTTGTGATCCTGCGGTCCTGTGAAAAATTCCCCGGAATAGCCTCAGAGTCAGCTTCAAAATAAACGACAAAATTCTAAGTATTTGCCTTTTATCGCCGGCTATCAAAAGACGAAGGCGGTCATGAGTGTGATTGTGTGTGTGTGTGGTTATTACCAAAATATCTCATGAACCACTAAACAAATTTTAGTGAAGTCATTCAATTCAAGATGGATACCACAACTAAATGTTCTCAAAATAAAACAAAAAAAGTCTATAATTTAGTCAAGTTAACACATCTATCCATCTGTTATCTTAACCTGCTTCTTCCTTTCAGGGTCGCGTGGGTCACTGGTGCCCACATCCAGCAGCCACAGTGGGAGGGGCGGGGTACACCCTGGACAGGTCGCAAGCCCATCACAGGGACACACATAGAGACAAACAAGCATTCACTCTCACTCACACCTACGGACAATTTAGAGTTACCAATTAACCTGACAATCATGTTTTTGGTCTGAGGAGTACCCAGAGAAAACCCACACATGCAAGGAGAGAACATGCAAACCCTACCCAGAAAGGACCCGACCAGGATTCAATCTGGCAACCCTTTTGCTCAGAGGCAACAGCTCTACCACCTGAGCCACAGCGCAGCCTGATTAACAGTTATTGCACTCTAATAAAACTTAAATTTAAAGATGGCGCCTGTGAGTGCGCCTTGCCATCTGCCTGTGTTTGTTTCTGCTTGTCTGGATTTATTTTATGTTTTATCTTTAAAGTAATAGTTAATATTTTTGTTTGTTTTTATGGTCTATTGTGCTTAGTGTTATCTTTTGCTATTTATTGTTTTGTGTGCAGCTCTTTGGCCAATGGCAGTTGATTCTAAATGAGCTATAAAATAAATTGGATTTGATCTGATAAAATCTGGTGTAGCTGTAGCTGAGAGCTAGTGTTCACAACACATACACCAAGTGCTAATCACCGCACAAGATCTTTGTTTAAAACCTCAGCATTAACTGCTGGAGTCAACCCTGCTCATCCATTAGAAAAATATGTCACGAACCACATTTTTAATAAAACTTGTAGAACGGAATGATTGGATGTACATCTACGACTGATTAGCTTTTTCTGTGAGATGGCCCTCACAGCTAATCAACATTAGCAAACACAAAATTGGCTGTAATTCTGTCAGTTTTGCAGATATTGACCTAAAACGACACAGCAGCTGAGAGCTCCTCACCACACATATTCTAGTGAGACATCTTGTGATCAGAGTTGTAAAGTAACTAAGTACAAATACTTTGGTACTGTACTTATGTAAGTAGAAATTTTAGGTATCTGTACTGTACTTGAGTAATTATTTTTCAGACTACTTTTTACTTCTACTTCTTACATTTTCACACAATTATTTGTACTTTCTATTCCTTACATTTTTTAAAAAGGCAAGAAGTAGAAAGTCGTTACTTCTATTTCATTTTTGCTTGTTTAATTTCATCCCAGCTGCTTATTGTAAAAAAATAAATACTATCCATATAAACTGTGCCTCCTAGATAAAGTTAATTTAATTGTGGTTGAATGAGAAGTATAAATATGTAAAATTCTCATACTGTATTAGTTTGTACACAAACAAATCATGTCACATTCCAGCAGGACATAATCATTAAAATAAAAGAACTGTACTTAAGAAGTATTTGTATTTCATGAATTATATTATTGCATTTGGCTGCAGCCCTCAGATAGATTTTCATTTTGGGAAAAAGGTTTGGTCACCCTTGAAATATGTATATAAACTGAAACAGCTAAAATAGTGCATCCTAAATTTAACATAAAGTAATTATTTTAATATGACATTCATTTCTGCATTTTCTGGAGAGTTCACCTCCTAATTATTGTCCTTATAGAACATCTAACTGCTTATTTTAAACCAATACTTTTACTTTTAATACTTAAGTTCAAAAAATATCAGATACTTTAAGACTTTTACCAAGTAATATTCCTAAAGGAGACTTTAACTTTTACCAAAGTAATTTTTTGGTAAGATTCTTGTACTTTTACTCAAGTATCACTTTGTGGTACATTATACAACAATGCGTGTGATATCACATAGAAACATAACGTTATTTGCAACTCTGTCGAACACAATCTTACTCTAAAACTCTGGCATAAAAGGCCACAGGCGATATGCATTCCTTCAAGGAATGTCCAGCCTTTAATTAGTAAATGTTTTAAAACACTGCTCTTTTGCAGATCACAAGCCCCCCTCTTTCCTCTAAAGAAAACATTCGCAACAATTCACAAGAAATCCCCGAAGGATTCGAGGGACGCTGATGTGTTTTGGGGAGGCTGAGTTTGATTGACAGCACATTTCCTGCTCCACTGACTTATGTGAGATGAAGACGTTTGTCAAACGTCAGCTTGTATAAACTTTCATAATTAAGAGCAGCATGAATGGCCAATCTCATCTAGGCTATCCTGAGGAAGTGTGTGTGTGTGTGTGTGTGTGTGTGTGTGTGTGTGTGTGTGTGGGTGTGTGTGTGTGAGGCTGGATGTCTGTCACCATAGCAACACACCAGGAGACATATTGGGAGGCCAGCCGGGGTTAGGCGTGTGACTGACCACGCCTGGCAACTCGTCAGCACTGGAATTTTTAGCAGTTGTGTCCCTCATCCTCTCCGGTGCGTTTCAGGTTCGGGCTCGGTCAGTGCGGATTAACTACGAGAATAACTGATCTGAGCGTCCGCCTCAGCCTGCTGTGCTGACAAAGACACGAGTCAGCTCATCACAGGGAGACAGCAGAGGGCCAGCATGCCCAGACAGCTGAGCAAAATAAATAAATAAATACCAGCTCACTCGTCATCACCTCCTCTGTCGCTCAGCCTTCACATCACCCAGACTCCGCTTTCACTCTCTCATTGACCCAAATCCCAGCACACGAATATTCATCTGTTTTTAGCTCAGCTTGAAGCAAACACGCCATATGCTCCTGTTTTATTCTAATCATTTTCACAACATGCACGCTGGAGGAAGTCCAAGTTCAGCTGCGTAGCTGGAGGCTGTCTGTCATACCTCCTGGATGTTGCTCAGGGAGAGGGTGAAGTCCTGGGCCGCTCCCGACGGCGATGGAGGAACGTCTGAGGCTATCAAGTGGGGACAGGAAGCAGCACTCTGCAAACGAGAGGGGCAGGAAGTGACATTCAGGAGTTAGAGAAAACAATGTACTCCCCTCACCCCCTCACCGCCCGCATGCATCCGTAACCCAAAAATACCTGTCCTGTTTATCTGCACAAGCAGGAAGTGAGAGGGTGAAGTCTCGCTTTGAAGGAAACAACAATAGCTTCAAATAGAGACGATGAAGGATTAGGAAAACAGGCCCACCGGCTGCTGTGATGGCCTTCCTTATGACCTCATGACCTAAAATAAACTCATTTCATGCTTAAAACAGGAATTGGAATAGTTTAGATCATTTTAAGTGGGGTTCTGGGAATAACAGTTCTGAACAATAAACATCTCACCTGCTGTAAAAAGCTTAGTTTGGATGAATAATCTGTTTGAAACGTCCAGTTTTTCTTTATATAGAGCCCTAGAACTCATCTTTTTATGCAATAAAAGTAGTGTACAGATGTAGTACACCACATAGGTTGAAATAGACCATAATGCATTGTGGCCTGAGCCAACACAGCAATCTAATGCTAACAAACGCAGCCTGTGACGAGACTTTTAGACTAACCTAAACAGCTTTTAGTTATTTCTACATCTCTATTGTGTCTCCTCCTCTGTCTGAACTCCAGAGAAGTTTTTAGATGAAGTGAACTGAAACTAAATTTTAAAGTTTAAACATGAAACACATTAAATACACTCACCGGCCACTTTATTAGGTACACCTGTCCAYCTGCTCGTTAACACTTAATTTCTAATCAGCCAATCACATGGCGGCAACTCAGTGCATTTAGGCATGTAGACATGGTCAAGACAATCTCCTGCAGTTCAAACCGAGCATCAGTATGGGGAAGAAAGGTGATTTGAGTGCCTTTGAACGTGGCATGGTTGTTGGTGCCAGAAGGGCTGGTCTGAGTATTTCAGAAACTGCTGATCTACTGGGATTTTCACGCACAACCATCTCTAGGGTTTCAGAGAATGGTCCGAAAAAGAAAAAACATCCAGTGAGCGGCAGTCCTGTGGGCGGAAATGCCTTGTTGATGCCAGAGGTCAGAGGAGAATGGGCAGACTGGTTCGAGCTGATAGAAAGGCAACAGTGACTCAAATAACCACCCGTTACAACCAAGGTAGGCAGAAGAGCATCTCTGAACACACAACATGTCGAACTTTGAGGCAGATGGGCTTCAGCAGCAGAAGACCACACCGGGTGCCACTCCTTTCAGCTAAGAACAGGAAACTGAGGCTACAATTTGCACAAGCTCATCGAAATTGGACAAGAGAAGATTGGAAAAACGTTGCCTGGTCTGATGACTCTCGATTTCTGCTGCGACATTCGGATGGTAGGGTCAGAATTTGGCGTCAACAACATGAAAGCATGGATCCATCCTGCCTTGTATCAACGGTTCAGGCTGGTGGTGGTGGTGTCATGGTGTGGGGAATCTTTTCTTGGCACTCTTTGGGCCCCTTGGTACCAATTGAGCATCGTTGCAACCCCACAGCCTACCTGAGTATTGTTGCTGACCATGTCCATCCCTTTATGACCACAAAACCGTTACTAGCGTGGTGTACCTAATAAAGTGGTCGGTGAGTGTATGTCATATATCAATGTAAAGCAAGTTGTATTTCAACTATTATGAAACTGCGTGGCTCGTTTCTATCATTAGCACACAAATTCTAAAAGCTATGGTTCCAGTACGGTAACACTGGATGAAAGAATTGATCTCGTGGCCACACATTACCATCCAAGGTCACCTAATGGGCTCTGCAAAACAGCAGTTGTTCTACACAGAAATATTTCGTAGGTAATACGGATTTATTAATTTAAAGGCAGAGCTGCTGCATGTGTAAATGAACAACATACAATGAAAAGTGTAACAAATCTGTGTAAATACACTTTATGCCAGTGTTATGGAGAAAAAGGATGTTAATGACATTTCCTCAGCCAAAACAAGCTAAACTATAATGCCCATCACCTCACATTCAGGTGTTTATAGCTTGCTGGCATTTAGTCATAATGCCTGACTGTGAATAGTCACACATAAATATTACTTATGATGCATTCAAACTGTGTTCAATATGCAAAAAAGGCAGAAGCGCATGTCCCCTAACCCGTATATAGTCTACTACAGAGTGACCACAATGTAGTGAAGGTGATAAAGAGTGAGAATTTCAAACTCAGCCATGGAGTTTAATTCTGACAGGCCTGACAAGCCAACGGCTATTCTGAGAGGGGCCAAGGTGAAAGTAAATTTTAGCAATCTGAAAGCAACTTTAATCTAAAATATTTTAAAATAATAAAATAAGTAGTTCATTAAAGACCTATTTTACAAATCTTTTCAATGCTGTAAATTCCATTTTACCTACTTATATCATAATATTCAAGCAGAAAGTGACCCAGGCATTTGCCTGTACAATGGCCTTCAAAAATCTGTAATTTTCACACAAATCCATAATAATCTCACATAATATAAATGGGTACAGTTACAGATCAGTACACATGCAAAATGGGCAAAAATCCGTGTAATTTACAGACAATCTGTACAACTTGACATATATGCTCAGGGTTTACTGGAAGGAGCCACCTAGCTGCTCTTGTCGCTGCTTATTTTTGTTCACAAATTGCCACAGAAATCAGAGTAAATAACTGTGTAAGACAAAATGAATGAAACCCTTTGACTGAAGTTGTTTTAAACATCAGTAAACCTGTTTAGACGTTGCCCCGCTCAAAGTAGCTGTTAGCTCATGTCAAACTTTGTTTCTCCAGACTGAGTCTTTTCATACAGCTTTCTACAACAAGTAAGACATTGTTTATAATTTCTTTACAAAACCTGCATTAAAAGATATGTACTGTCTCTTTAATTACCCAAAACTACCTAAAGTTCCTTAAAAAAACCACAAGTCTTTCATGCTCAAACATGTTTTTTCCTTTTTGTTTTTCCATCTAAAACAGCAAGTCTAATGGAGTTTCAGTTCATTAGCTTTAAAGATGCATTGATGTGTTCGCTGCTTTAGCTGTTTGAGAAGGAGGTCATGTGATGTAAAGCTAATTATTGCACAGTCACGGCAATAAAATGCCTAAATGACGACCCGTGGAGCAGCAGCTGATCTGAAGACGGTGAGCCATATCCTCTTTCAGCTAACATGGAGAAAAAGTGTGAGCGGAATCAGACCCTGAGAGGAAAAATGTGCCAGGCCACACAGGCCATGGGATTCTGGCTCTGGAGTAAAAACTGTAAGCGGGACCCAAACACTTGAGTAGCTGACTTAATCTTGACATTGTCAGGAAAATGTCCAAAAGGGAATGGTGGTGATTTGCTCCAACGGGGCCAGACTTTGTTTTGGGAAAAGTTTCCCCTGTTTTCACTAACATTTTTGTCTTACACCAGTCCTCTTTTTTTAATATTCTGTTTTTTAACCCCTCACACGGTTTTATAATCTTCTATAAATCTAACAAATCCATTTCTACACACCTCTACTCCAAACAAAAGGGATACATAAAAGCCGTCTGGACATTTAGTTAGAGTTCCCTACACAAATATGAGCACAGTGAAGCTACTCTTTCACTTTGTCACACAAATCTGCCAGAAAGCGAAACTTAAGAGCAGGACTGAGACGCTTTAAAATGGCACATTAGCCTGTTATGAGCCTGTAAAAACAGACCCTCCTGAGATTTTATGACTGGTTTAAACATTTCTCCACATTGTAGTTGAGACATTATGACCTCACAGTGAATCACCCCATGGTTGCTCTTGCCTAACCCGTCTGGAGTCAGATTATTAAAGAAAAACACTTTTTTTGTTGTTGTTGTTGTTCCAGCCGCGTCTGGGTTGTGTCAGACTATTAGGACATTGATACCATGACCTCCTCCATGTGTCTGCTTGATAGATTATAAATACTCACTTCTATCAGGTGATGCTTTGAATCATCTTTATTGGAGAGACATAGGTGGTTCTCTTGGTCCCAGTAACACTTCCATCTTGTGCTCAGGCAGCTCGTGCATCTGACAAAAAAAAAAAAAGAAAAACCCATGAAGACACAAAAAACACAGAAGGAGCAAGGTCAGCGGTTGCCAAATCTGGCCTGTTTTCCACCCCTCTATTATCTCCCTGTGATCCGTTCCCATGCAGAAGTTGAGTATGCGGCTCGCTGTGAGTCACTCAGAGCGCGAAACAAACACAGAGGCTGAACTGATTACAGGCATCAAAGTGGAGCTTTAATAAAATGAAGTAATGATAAGTCACAGTAGCGGACATGATGATTCCTTTGACAGGAAGGTCAAAGCGAGCCAAATGGGCCGAGATAAAACTCTCCCACTGCTAAATGATGATGCATGAGCCTGCATGCTGTCTCTTGTTTATATATCTGCTAAAGCAGGCTGGAGATTTTTATTTTTTTTTTACACTGCTTGTACTGATATTTCAGAAAATAAGGTTCATCAGCAGGTTCTTGAAGGGATAGTTTGATTATTTTGATGTGATGTTCTGCCTGATATACAATACTACAAAATGACCAAACTACCCTTTATAACCTAAGACAGGTATAGACAACTTAAATGACAGAAGGGGACGCAGTTTTTGTTGACACTACCAGAGGGCCACATAGTGCTGCACACTTGTAACAAAACAGTCATTATTATGCCTCAGAGGCATACTGTTCTTCAGCTGTCCGTCTGTGCCTTAGTGGCAGAATTCCGTCCGTCACACTGTCTTGTGTGTTTTGTAGCTCCTGAATGGAGCTATTGAATTCAGTCCAAATTCACATGATATTTGTTCTTGACCTACTGCAGGTCTGTAAAGATATGGGAGTCAAAGGTCAAAGCTGAAGGTCAGGTAAAGTGATCTTTGTTGCTTGAATCCCCTTATTTTGGATGGTCCACATAAGTGGTTGGTCACTGAAATTAATGATATGGTAAATATTAAAGAGGAAGTCATGTTTAGACATTGTTGATATAGTTACTTCTTAGAATATTTAAGTCCAAAAATAGACAGGTAACTGCATGCCTAGTGCTTTAAGTGCAGATGAGTCTAAGGCAGGTGGAGGGTGATGATTATCGTTGAGTTCTACCAACATACAGAGCAGTAACTTAACATATTTCATGCTCAAATGCATGTAATGTACGTTGCACAATGGTAATGTCCAATGGTTGAAGCATAACAGCATACAAAGCATTGTGTGAAGACTCCTGCGTGGTTCTGGTAAAAACTCTCTATTGTTTATGTTCTTACAGCTTCAGTAAACTTCTCATATTTAGCTTTGTGCAACGTGTTGTAGCGCCGACTTACATTAAAATCCTTCATGGCAGACAGCGTCTCTAAGCAGACTAAACACACAGGTTTGTTTTAAAACTCTGTGAACAGATAAAAATTAGTAACTGGGGGAAGGGAGGGTAGCGCTCATTGGTGGGCCACCAGTTGACCCTTCCCTGATCTAAGCATTCAGCCCCACAAGTGTACAAGTTAAAGAGGAGAGGTAACTTTGGGGAAAAGTGTACAATAAAGACCGGACAAAGAGATACTTAAATAAAAAGTGTGAGTGAAGTGTGCATCACCAGCTCGCCTCTGGGAAGAGACAGATGTCCCACACGGAGGATGATAGCGCCTGGAGTGATAGCAGCAACTCCGAGGGGGTCTCCAGATTAGGTGGAGGTGGGTGTAAGAGGATGCAGACGTGTCATTGAAACGTGTGTGTGTGTGTGTGTGTGTGTGTGTGTGTGTGTGTGTGTGTGTGTGTGCTCTGATTAGAAGCAGACGGTACCCCTCAAGGCTCTTATCAGCTGCAGCTTCTCTTGTTTTTCCTGACTCCCTCTTTGCTACTAACACACCTATCCCTCATCCCACACACACATTCACAAAGTTTGTGTACACACACACACACACACACACACACACTCTCTCTCTCTGCTCGACCGAAGTCTGACTGCCCTGTGAATGTGCCCAACCCGAGTCATCACACACACACACACACACACACACACACAC